CACACACACACACACACACACACACACACACACACACACACACACAGTGCCTTGTCTTAGAACCATTGGGGGGGTTTGCGGTGGGAGGTGCTTGTAAACTATTGTGTATTGTAACTGTCATGTCAATAAACAGCTGCGAGGAAGCTGTTCTTTGAAAGATTTGGGCTAGAGACAGGTGATGAGCATTGCTCCACTGCCTGGTTCTGACCAAGGCTTCCCTTGTTAGCGAGTTAAAGAGCGGTTGAAGATGTTCTGTCTTGGTTTCGTTCCTCATGAGGAATAAGTCTCTAAACTAGCGGGGCCTGTTCAATAAATCCAATCCATCCTCCTCCACTTATCTTTATCAGGGTCAGTGAGGGATTGTGATTTGCTGCTATATAAATATAGCAATATATAGGACAAAATCAACACAAGATAGAGGAAACAGAGCTGAACATGGAACACACAGGGCAGCACACTGTGAGACTAAAACAAGAAACACATTAAACACACACTAAGACTGTGGCTGACTACAGGGAACAGAGGGAGGAGAGGGAGGGCGACAGACTTCACAGGCGAGCACTGAGGGAAGGACACAGAGACGAGAGCTAATAACAAACAGCCTCAACTAGAAATACAGATCAACTCAACTAGATAACATAACAGTGACGATTAAACAAGACTCAAAAACCCATCAACACAAAACACTGGGTCAACGATCCAGGCACCCTAACAAAGGCTTTTAGGATCTGCTGATAATAACAAATTACAGTCAGTCCAAATGTGAACATTGACATCCAAGAATGTCCTTTATTGGTTAGATACAGAGTTGTACTGTCTGCATTTTAGACCAAGAACACAGATGGACTGAAGGAGGAATCCTCCTTTGTCCAGTCTGCCGGGGCAAACTGTGTGAAGTGTGAAGAGTGGACCCAGGTGAGGTCATACCACAACTCAACTTTAACTGAAGATGAGCTTTTTATTGAGGCAGGAAAAGGTACAAAAATAAAATGGTGAACACAATGCAAAACTAAACAATGTCCTAAACTGGGTAAACTAGAAAGGAAACATGAACCATGAAAAACCCCGCTGGATAGAAAAACAGACAAGAAAAGCTCTAAACATTGCAATGTGGTATGGAAGCATGAATGGCCTGGAAAAACTGCAGACGATCAGACAAGGAAAGCCTGAAAGCACACGGACTAAATACACACAGGAAGATAATGAGGGAAGTGGGAACACATGGGGAAACAGCTGACACAGATGCACATACCGACGTTACAGGAGAAACGTAAAACTAAACACATCGAACACAGGAACACAGGACCTCTTCAAAATAAAACAGGAAACATAATGAGACGCAGACACGACAACATGAACTTGACAACACAAGACATGCAGACATGAAACACATAAAGGACAAAGGAGACTTACCACAGGGGTTGAAAGCACAAGGGGAATCTAATAAACAAAAGAACTTAGATAACCTAATGAACAGCCATCTTTAAACAGAGGGGGGCTTATAACACCATGTGCCACCTACACTACAGCTCTGAGATCCCTTCCCAGGTGCCTCAACCTCGATAGCTCATAATGGTTTGACCTGAAACATCTGGTAATAGTGGTTCAGTGACCCATTAAAGGACAGTCTCAAGTAGGGTTTAAATATCTGAGCTGTCAGATGTGTCTATCCTCCCCAGCACACACAGAGGTATATAGTGCCACAGCTTCACAGTTTCGATCGCCTCAGGTCTTTGTCCAGAGCTTGCATGGGTTCAGCGTTCTGGGAGCTGAGGAAGGTGTGGTCCTGGTTCAGGTAGGTAGTGATGAAGTCTGGAAAATGTCTCTTTGCGATCACCTCCTGGAACATGTTTGCTGCTGTGTGTAACCTCTGTCTGAAAAAGAAAGATAAAATCCTGAAAATAGCTTATTCAGACTGCCCTCTGGCAGAAATGTTGCAGCTATCTTGCAACGATAAATGGTAAATGGGTTGGTTTTTATATAGTGCTTTGCTGCTCTGAGCACACAACTTGCATCAAACACCCACTCACAGATTCAGACATTTTCAGTGCACTTGTATAAGTGTTTTCTGTCTATAATTGACACACATCCATATTCTGGTGGATGCATCAGAGAGCAACTTGGTGTTAGCGTCTTGTGCGAGGATATTTGGCATGCAGATGGGGAACGAACCACCAACCTGCTAGGTGACCTGCTCTGCCGCCCTATTTTATCAGAGCGAGAAAAGAAAAAGAAAACATCATCTTACATATGCTATAACATGCATGTTTAGGAAAACCAAAACCTGCAGGTTTTCGATCTCACCCTGGGTCAACACACCTGAATCAGATGATTAGTTCATTACCAGCCTCTGGAGAACTTCAAGACATGTTGAGGAGGTAATTTAGCCATTTAAATCAGCTGTGTTGGATCAAGGACACATCTAAAACCTGCAGGACACCGGCCCTCGAGGCCTGGAGTTGCCCACCCCTGGTCTAGTGCATCCTATGCTAAGGGAGGCAATAAAGAAAGCACTGAAGCTCCTTTCCTTAGTATTTGGAGAACTGGAACTTTAATCATGGTCGCCACACAGATACTTTCAGGTCGTGTCTCTCAGTTAAGAACCTTCCTAAGCCAAATGGACTATTGGAACTGTTTCCATGAAAGGGTGTACGTGGTCTACAACAATGCTTAGGAAGGTGTATGTGTCAAAGTAACTGTAAAAAACAAAACAAAAAACAAAACAAAAACAAAACAAAAACTAAAAGGTGAGTTTGCATCATAAGCAAATTAAGGATGTTCAGAAATTATAGGTGTCATGGATGTGGTGTTTCAGTGAAAACTCTAAAAGGTTATACATGCATCATGAATTTGAAAATTAACCAATGGGCTGCTGTCAGTGCTTATACAGCTGGTGCACAGCTCAACTGACCCATCGAGTTTTGTCGTGCAAAAGCTGTTGCACAATAAAATGCGCAATCAATACACTGAAAAATAGTTGCATGTTTAATCAACTGGGAATTTACCCAAATGTATTTATTTAGACAGAGATCTTGACAGATATATATATATATATATATATATATAATTCCCCACTCGTGGAACACACGCACACACACATACACTTACACTGATAAGCACTCACTCATCCCCCCTCCCCTTCCAATGCCTTCGATGCTTGTTGCATCCTGGGAACACGAGGCAGGTCTGGGCCCGCGCTGGAGAGTCGGTGCAGTGGCAGGATGGCTGTTGTGTTGCCTGGGATTACTCCTCATCCCCTACCCACCTCTGTTGCTGGTCACGTGCTCTATAATGTTGTGCTGTGGACATTTATGTGCTTTCTGTGCAGAGGAGTTTTTTTGTTTCCTGTTCTCATGCTGTCCTCCTGTAGCCCAGCATGAGTAGAGGTCTCTTTTTTTCCTCTTGTACTTTCCCATTGCAACTAATCTAAAATGCCACTGCATGTGGCGAATAAAATTTGAACTTGAACTTGAACATGTTGATGCCGTCCAGCCCCACGCACGGGGCGATCCGCGGTAGCTCGTTAACGGAGATTTGCCGTGTTGTGG